AAAAAAAAAAGGTCCTATGTGACAGAAGACTAGATGATAGTGTATCCAGTTGACAAAATATATGTAGCTATGTAAAATGATGTTTATAAAAATATTGGGGAAATTAGACTTTTTATTGAAAAATGTTACACTACTACAATATGGTGCTTCATAACCCCTCCCCCAAAATGAAACATTAGACTTAAATGAAAAAACAGGCTAGAAAAAACCGTTAAGAAATTTTGGCGGTAGTGAAACCAGAGATTATCTGTTCGTGTTTCTATTTTTTTTAAGAATCCAGTGCCATTAATTTTTCCAGCCCTGTTTCCATATGAATGGGTTTTAAATTGTAGAATAAATCATTTTATATTCAAAAATTTAATCAAATTACCTAGATGAGTAAATGCTCCATAAATATAAATCATAATTCTCTTATCCTTTGAGTATGATAGCCTCCTATTTATTAACCCAAAACCATAAAAAATAAATGCTTATGTTTTCTATTACCAAGTATAGGGACAGAAAACTGACTTGAGCTGTCTTCTTCAGGCTGTTTATGCTGTCTCATCTTCTTTACTAAGTAAATGAAGTATTTGCATTTCTAAATATTTCAGTCATTACCATTGTTTTAACTTACTTTAATCTTAGTGGGTAATTTATTTTTAAATATGACCCTCGTGATTGACATAGAATTTAAGCTTGTAAAGATGTATATAAAATTACAAGGCAGAACATAAGCAAATCATTTGTTATGGTAGGCTACCAGTTTGACTACCAGTGCTAGCTGCCTTCATCAAAGAAATAGAATCATTTAAAATTACACAGTGCCCATATTTTAAAACCAGTGTTTTAGGAGAAGTTTCCATTTCTATAGTTGAACCAGAAGAAAAATCTTTCATGAGTTCTCAAAGGAAGGCTATTTTACAAGATTAATGACTAGCACATTGAAAATCAATAGAACGGAGAGCACTAGAATGTTCTTAGAATGTGGACATAACTAGCTGCATTCTCCCAAATCCAACCAAATTAGCAGTAACTCAGGATTTGATGAGCAATGATAGTAGTCATTTTTCTCAGCTATTTTCTTTAACCCTTCCTTAACTACTAATTGTGGAACTGTGCACAATGGATATAATGATAATTTTCACAGTATTATTACCCATAATAAATCCTTAAGGCAGATAAGGACACTTACTTTCAATTTACTGCAATTAAAGCTGTTTTAACTCATATGCCAGGGGTGACTTTATAGATGCTTATCTCTAGAACAACCTACCTCTCGTAAGTGTGAGAGATTCACTCTGCCTGGTTATGTCTTTCATCCAGCACCCTTTATTAGGCAGCCAGTTGTGATAAATGAGACAGCCTATGGTGATGAAGTAATACAAAATGAAATGTGAATAATACCCCTAGTGACCTAATTTCCTGTTGCTGTACTCAGAGTATTAGGATTAGCCAGGTAGCTATGTTTTTAAAATTTCCTAGAAATTAGACTCAACGAACAACCTTGTTATAGCCAAAGATCTAATTTGAGATTCCTGGATAAAGGGAAAGAAGCCTGAAGGAAAGTAGACACAGCAGGTCACTGATCAGAAGTAAAGTAAACACAGCAGATCAATGTGATAAGATTAACTTGTATGTTTTATTGAACCTATTTATTTTTTTTTCAAAGTTTTATTGATAAACAGCAATGAGACAGTTTCAAATCCAATCGGAAGTACAGTTTCAACAAATAATACATTGAAGCTATTTATTAAGATCTTAAAGTTAGGTTTAGAAAGCAAATACTGTACTGGAGTTTAGATACGCATATTATTATTCTAGGTAGTCAGTTTTTAAACTCTGCGTACTTGATTCAATAATGCTCAATACATTTTTAGAATTTTTTGTAGGGATTGCTTTTAAATCCACAGCCGATTACCTTAGCAGTACGAAGTATATAATTGCTTTGAGATAATATTAGTAATTTTAAAACATGGCTAAGAATCTGATTTCTTATCTGAGTTTTAATACTGAATATTATAAATGGATTAATAATATATTGCCTTAATGCTTAGAAATAGATAAATTTATGTTTGAGCTTATTTTTAAAGAGTTCATTGTTTGTAATTAATTTATCACCTTTAGAAATGTGTAGTTTCTACTCTAATGTGAGTAGTCTTAAAGATTTAATTTTTATTTTAGGACATGGACTTTGTACGCTTTATCACCAACTGCTTTAGGATTTATTACCCTAAGTACCTCTGTAAGTAACCTATCCCTTTATAAAAATATATTCTACTGATAATGTCTGAGAATTGGGGAGCCTTATATTATTATACACTTGTATAACTGAAACATTGTTTTCTGACAAAAGTTTTAAGTGTGTCATTAGACAAAGGAAAGATTTGATACAAGTAATCACTTTCTTTACAGTTTTATAGTTTTACTTCTGATCTGTATATATGGAACCCTGTAATACACATACAGGTACATACAAACATACATTTATTTACATAAGATTAGCCTATAACTGCTAATTTTCAACTTAAAAATTTATTTAAAATAGTATTTATTGTATTGAAATTCTTGCATGCAAGAATAAGCAATAGTGATAAAATGTACTATATAGGGGCTGGGGGGATAGCTCAGTAGAATAAGCGCTTGCCTGGCAAGTGCAAGGCCCTGAGTTCAATCCCCAGTACTGCAAAAAAAATACTGGATAATAAATATTGATATATAAAGTATAGTGTATTAGTAGTTACTATGTTGAAATTGTCAGAAAATAACTTCATTGGAATGTACTGCATTTGAATTTGGTATTTATACTTTGCTCATTTTTAATCATAATTTTTCCTTTAATTACTTGAAGAACTGCTAAACTTTATATACTCATTTTCTTTATTTGTTGGATTATGTGATGAGCTCCCCCTGGGAAAACAAGTTACCAACCTACTTATGTAGGAAATTCACAGATTACTTATGCAAACTCCTGAAGAATAGTGCAATTAAGATCTTTTGGGATGGGGAGATGGCTTAGTGGAATAAGTGCTTGCCTAGCAAGCACAAGGGCCTGAGTTCAATCCCTGGTTCCGAAAAAAAATAAAAAATAAAGTTTTGGGGGCTGGTGAGATGGCTCAGTGGTCTAAAGCACCTACTTAGAACAAGCTTAGCAAAGCACAGGGACCGCGGTTCAATCCCCCAGCACCACATGCCAGCCAGCCCCGCCCCCTGGTGGGCTGAGCTGGCCACACACACACACACACACAAATAAATAAATAAATAAAATTTAAAAAAAAAAAGATCTTTTGGGATTCCTAACTCAGGTGACACCAAATGTAAAGTCCCTAAATCATCTTAGTTTGGTAAGCTTTCACACTGTTGATGTGGAATGAGGAGCAGACAGAAGTCATAATGGATATTCAGAGTCATTGCCACACTAAGCTATGCACTCACATCTCTTCAGGGAATGTATTTGTGAATGCTCATAGATAAAGACAATGGTCTGGCCCTGTGGAATCTGTTGTTCTTTATGAGTTGTCCTTGTATCTGGCATGTACCCTGATTCAATAATACTTGCTGATCAGTGCTAGTCAGTTTTAATAAGGAATCACTGCTTACTATTATTAGCTGATTCCTCTTGTAGAAAAAATGAAACTATAATCTGCCTGTTTATTGAGCTATTAAAGGAGATTGTGAAGAGTCACTTAGAAATAATATAAATATCGTTATTTTATAAAATCCAAGATTCTTTTGAGAAAATCATTAATAAATTCTTTATTATCATTGATTCAATGTTGTTCATTTCAATAGCTGCAGATAATGTGTACATTCTAACATATGTAATTTTTCAAATACTCAATTTTATGACAGCTTAAATTAATTATTCCACAAAATCTGTCATGAAATAGAACTGTCATCTTAAGGATATTTCAGGTAAAGATGGGAATATTGAACACCACACTTCTCTTTCCTGTTAACTTGTGTTCTTTCATATGTAATTTACTTAAATACATTAACATAACCACCCTAGAAAATTCTATGCTCAGAGAAAAATGAAAATACATATTGGTTTATCTAGTAGAAGAATATATTAGATATAAAAAAATCTCTTTTGTGGCTTCAGTTGTTAATAGGACTGTTTAATGTCATCAATTCAATATGTAAATAATATTCATATATGCGTTGGAATTATTGACTTCCTGGAACTCATAATATTAAAAAATAAAAGCATTTTTTCTTGATATACAATAATTTATTAAAAGGGGAAAAGACAACTGTGAGGCTGACTTAACAGTAAAATCTAGTGAATTGTAATTGCAGCCATGAATTAGACATGACAATGTTTTGAAGTTCCGATGCCATCAGCGCTATTACATACACCATCCGAAGACTCCACTTACCCATTTAACTGTTTTCTTTGTACCTTTTTGTAAACAAAGTAATACATAAAGAAGCAAGCCATTAGCCAGAGGACTGTAACAGTGCTTTATTGATTTTACACAAGTCTTCCAGGGCAGACCCATCAACACTGTGAGATATTAGTTTAGTCCTGATACCACTCACACATCGCTAGGGCTTAGCCAGCCCATTTACCAGTTTTTCTAGGCTAAATATAAGGGATATTATAAAGGTATAAATCACATTCAATTAAATTTTTTCATCTTTCAGCAAAAATGGTGATTTTTGATATGCCTTGGATAATGAATGGTAAGTATATTATTTATGTTTTTCTAAAACAAAATGTCTGATTTACTTTTTCATTGCCAATCCAGCCATGTTACTATAGCTGTTTAAATAAGTGTTTGTAATCTACTTGGCATACACTTTTAAGAGGCCAGAGCTAGCATAGTCAAAGGCTGTTCCTAAACAAATGAGGCTGATATTCTATCCTCCAGACTCTGGGGTTACCCACTATTGTTTCCGGAAGATACCCTCAAGACATTCAGTCATTTAAGTAAACTATAGTCAGAAGCCTCAATTTGTAGACCTACATATAGATTGTGTCACAGAATACAAGTCTTAGGTAGGTTTTCTCAAGGACTTCAAGTGTTGAGGATGAAGGCGGGATAAATCTAACATTCACTCCAAATCATTATAGTCACATGGCCCTTTTGACAGTCATAATATATTTTTTGGTGAGGTAGTTTTAAAAAATTCATTGAAAAGTATTTTATCAAATTCTGTAATTTTAATTTTATTCTATGAATGTACATTGTCGTTGTTAGTGTTTTTAAATCATCTCAAACCTGCTTTATTGCCAGCTAAGCACTTAATCCACTGAGCCATTTCCCTGGCCCTTGTTGTTTTTAAAAGGCATTTGTCATGTAGAAAGCAATAGGGAAAAACAAAAACTAAAATTTAGTTCTTTGAAAAATTCAGTACAATTGGCAAACGTATATCTAAACTGATAGAAAACAAAGACTTAAATTAGTAAAATCTGGAAGGAAAAGCAGACATCAGTACTGACCTTAAAGGAATAAAAAGGATTATAAGGAAGTACTGTGAACAAATACATGCCAAGAAACTAGCCTGTAAACTGGATAAATTCTTACAAAGCTACCAACTATTGACACTGACTCAAAAAGAGTCAGAAAGAAAGTGTAGCAAAATTGAATTAGTAATGGCAAAGCATCTCCCAATGAAAAGTTCACACTCACATGGCTTCACTGGTAAATTCTATGAATTATTTAGAGAAAATTAATAACAATCCTTTATAAACAGTTCTAAAAAATAGAAGAAGAGGGACTACTTCTCAACTCTTTTTTTTAGAAAAATACAGTCCTAATACCAAACATAGGAAATGTAAGGTATAGTACATATTTAAAGATCTTAACCCTTATTAATATAGATGTACTAGTCCTCAGAATGTACTAACAAAGTGAATCCAGCAGAATGTAAGAAGTATTGTGCACTAGACCACACAGTATTTACTCAGGAATACAATGTTGTTTCAACTTACGGAAACCTATAAGCTACCATATTAATATAATGGAGGGGGAAGCTGCATGATCAGCTATCTCAGTGGACACCAAGAAAGCATTTGAGAAAACCTTGTGGCCTCTTAAAATAAAAGTACTTAATAGACAAGGAACAAGAAGTATTATGTGAACGTGACTGACACCTTCCTAGTTGAATTGTCTCTAGTCTTCTAGTACCAGTTTACCCAAAGCCCCTAAACTTAAATCATCTATCAGTCTCCCTAGCCAGCTCATGCCCTAGATGTATTGACCCAGTGTGATCCAGGCCCCCAGGCAAATACAGATAATCCTAGCTCACAAAAAGATTACTTTTAGGAAGCCAACAGTAGAAGGCTGACCGCTCTTTGAGTGAGGCTAATTCTTCACATCATTTCATTCTGTTATTTAATTCCAGCAGCAAAGCTTCAAAACTGTCAACTCACAAGCTTTTAAAATTGAAATTAATGAAAATTTAAATGTTATATTAAAAAAACTTGAACCACAGTGAACAAAAGTAAAAATGTATTTTTCTGAGCTACTACTTAATGTTTGTCATGCTGTTTTTATTTGCTGTTTCATTCCATTGATGCTTTTGGACATCTAATGCAGCATCCTACTTTGAGTTGCTTTAAAATGAGCTTTTGAATGTTACATTAGAAATGAGGTTTAAAAAAATTAAGAAATGCCATGACAGAACAAGATTAAAATTACCTAACAGCTATGTCTAATAACAGTTTGTATTTTCTGGAAGTTCCTCACAGTTATTAAACTACAGGTCCTGGGAAAAAGGCAGTTTAGAGTCAGGCAGGAAATTTGGGTCTGGTTTACACCCATACTGAGGGCTCCTCCCTTTTCCTGACTTCTTTGGGAAGGCTTTTCTCATTGAGTTTTTATCAGAACCATAAGACAAATGGCTCTTTCTAGATTATGTAGTTTTTCCCTGAGTCACATAACAGTTTTGATGTAAAGGTCTAGAAATCTTAGTAATTTAGATCACCAGTGGATATGTTTGGAGATCTAAGCACTGACAAGTGTCCTTGTGAACATCAGAGTAATTTAATCTTCATGGAATATTTGAAACCTATAAGGGATAGTTGCACCAAGACCTCAGCACATACAATAAAGTAGTCGATAAAAAGATAAGAATTTTAATGCTGTGACTTTTTTTGATTTCTTTTTCTTCAGCTGCTTTCAAAATTGTAAAAAGCTGGCTTGGCACAGAAGCTGTAAGTGTGTTGAAGTTTGCAAGTAAAAATGAAATCCAAGATTATGTCAGTGTAGAATACCTGCCTCCACACATGGGTGGAACTGTAAGTATAGACTTTGATGCATTTATGAAATGATGCTAGCTAACAGTACATAAGACTATTCTTTCCACCTGCCTGGAAAGTGCAAGGACCTGAGTTCGATCCCTGGTACCCAGTATTGCATGCTGTGCAGGCCCAGGAACACTGGCCACTTTGTGCCTGCCCCAAAACCAGGTGTGATGGTGCATGCCTGTAATCCCAGCCCTGTGGAGGCAGACACATGAGGATCACTATGGTCTAAACTGCATAGTGAGACCCTGTATCCAATAAATAAATAAATGTTTTAAAAAGACTGCATCCTTTCAAGAAAAATGGAAAAGCAGTGTAACAACATCCAAATAAAGATCGTATATTACTTAAAGTGGCAAGCAATGGCAGAGACATGTTTCACTTAAATTTTAAAGTTATTTTTATTTTACTTTTGAATACATAATCTGTTTGCATCTACACTGGAGTATTCAGTAGTCAGGAGAATATTCAGAAACAAGTCTTTAGTGAAATGTTTCCTCCTGCTCTTAGCCCAACCACCCTTTTCCCTTCCCTAGATGCATTTCATATAATAATTTTCAGAGGAGTGTATAGCATATGTAAGCAAGCAAGTACATGTGAGTCTTTCTTTTTCCTCTTTTAAACAGATAATACATTTTTACACTATTAACCATGCCACTTTTTTCTTCACACTATGTCATAAGTATTCCAAATCAATATGTTGCAAGCTTTCTTGCTTTTGTTCGTGGCTACAGAATATTCCAGTATCAGATGACCTACAACCTACTGGAACTTTTTGTGGTGTCTTTAATTTTCTTTTTAATTTTCTGTTGAACAAGATTCTACCATTAAGCTACCCTTAGCACTCAAGATTTTTTAAATGGATTTTTACTACTTAAGCAGTTGGAAATAAGTGGGTACTTAATTATGCAACAACAAAGCAAATTATGACAGTAACCTATTAATAAACTATAAAACCTACAGACTTGGTATGTTTTCAGTTAACTTCATATTTCACTTAATTTGTCCAGTTTACTTTGTGTACTGCTGTTACAGTTGTGTTCAATGGGAACCAAGGACTGTAAGATAAAAGTTTTGGTATGTCCTCCTGTTTGTTTTCTTTGATTAAAAAGATTGAACCAAACTTTTGTATTTGAAGTCTTTGCTTTGCTATTCTGGGCTTTCTGTTTTACACTTTAACCTAGAAAAACAGTAGAGTGATACCTCAGTTCACAAAGTTACTTCTTGGAAAAGAACCAGATCACATTGAATGGTTAAATTCAATGCTGACTTTAAAGGCAAATTTGATTCAGTTCTAGTACATTTGGCTTTGGGACCAGAATCAAGGAGAGAATTGCTTTGTGAAACGTAGTACCACCATACTGTTCATTTCAGATACTACATTTAGTTTGTAGTTCGTAGCACTAAGTGTAGTATCTGGAAATCACAGTAATGATTTTTGAAAAATTTTAATTTTTTTTATTTTTAAAAGCAAAAACATAGAAACAAAGATGGAAATAGAATGACATATAGGAGTATATATGTTACAGATTTTCAAAACAAGAATAGCCAATTAATAATGGTTATAGTATCTTTATTGTCAGATCTGTTGCTCAGATTAGCAGAAATAGTTATACAAGAATGGACAGTTATTAGCACTTGCTTTCAAGGAACCTTAACTTTTTCTATTTTCTTGTCTTCTTTACTAGTTTTTTAACAGCCATTGTTAATTAGCTATTCCTGTTTTGAAAATCTATAACATGTATTGTTACCCTGTTTCTCCTTTTTTAAAATTTGTTTATGCTTCTGTTTTTACTCTTCAAAATTAACAGTCATTATTTTGATTTGTCATCTTTAGTAATTTACCCATCTTAGTAGTATTTAGTAAAAGTGATTTTTATTTTTATGTGTAGAAAATGCTATTATATTTCCACCTTTCTTTTGCTAGTGATATATTTCGAGGACTATATTCAAAATGGTAAGACTACTATCTTTTTACCACTGTTCTTCTTTTGAAGAACCATTTCTCTCTCTTTTTTTTTTTTTTTTTTTTGCTGGCTCAGCCCACCCTGAGGTTGGGGCTAGCGCTTTATGTGGTGCTGGGAATTGAACTGCGGTCCTCTGAGCCTACCTAAACTTGCCTAAGCAGGTGCTTTAGACCACTGAGCTATCTCGCCAGCCCTGAAGGACCATTTCTTGTTTTATTATGTTTTGCAATAAACTTGTAAATACTTCTTGGTATATAAGTACAACAAGTACATGACTAGAAATAGTCATTGAGTCAGTGGGTATAGTTTTTAATTTTGGTAGCTATTTCCAGGTTTGTTCCAAAATCATTGTTACCAATAAAATGTGGAAACATTTAAACTTTATTTCGTAGACAGTATCACATAGCCTCATTTTTTTTATTCTTTGCCTTTCTCAGATGAAAAATATATTTTAATATTCATTCTTTTTTATAAGTGATGTTAAACCCTTTGTTATGATTTAAAAAGCATCGTTTTTCTATGAGATTTGTACCGTACTATCACCATTTTTTCTGGTGGGTTCTTATTCCTTTTCCTATTGATTTCTTTGTATTAAAAATTATCTTTGTTCCTGTTATGTTTGGTACATATTTTTCTAGTTGTAACCCCTTGAAAAACAGGGAAAACTTTATACTTGGTTTTTGGTTAGTTGGCTTTTTGGTTAGTTGATTGGTTATTGTTTTATTGTGTTTTGCAGCACTGAGATTAGGCCCAGGGCCTCATACCTGGTAGGCAAACATTGTACCACTCAGCGGCATCCCAGGGTCATTACTGGTATTTTTGTGCCTTTCTAGGTTTTGTGCCATGCAGAAAGGCCTTGCATACTTAAGATTTGTTTGTTCCTTGTTTTTAATCCTCTTCTGTTTTGTTCCAGTGCTCTTCGTGAATGGTAAAACATAATCACACAGCTACATTTCAGGCTTTTACCTATCTGAAATTCTTCCCAGTGTAAAGAGTGAGCAAAATTTATGATTTAGGTTGAGTTTTTTAGACAGCTTGTGAATAGCACACAGTACTTTCTGCTCATTCACATTCTGGTTGGGAATGCTTCCTGTATTTTAAATTTTACTACCTAATTAAATTTGTTTTTTCTTTTCTTAAGGTTTTGGAACAGTTTAGATATACATCATGATCACATTTATCGTAGGGAATTTGTACCTGCATATAATAGATCATGATTCTTCTTTTTCATTGCTCTCCCCTACTTTCAACCTCTCTTCCCTTTTTTTTTACAAAGCTTTGTATCCATTTTATCCTTCTTTTCTCATTTTTTCTTTTCCCTTCCTTTCCCCCTTTCCTTTTGAACAATTTCTTCCTATTTCAAAAATCTATTATATGTTTTGGTTATTTCAGTTTCTCACACAAGAGAGATGGTGCAATATTTACCTATGTGTGTCTAATTTATTTCACTTATGAATATGATCTCAGGGCCTCGAGTATAGCTCAGCAATGTAGCACCTACCTGGCATGTATATGATGTCTTGAATTCAATTCCCAATACCACCACATCCAAAGAAGATTGGGGTCTCTAGTTCCATCCATTTAGCTATAAATGTCTCAAGTTTATCATAATTTATGGCGTGACCAAAGTAATGAATTTTCAATCTGTTGTCAGATAATTACTTTTCCAGACAACCTTTTTTGCACTGACATGAAATCCTTTTCTTTTAGGACCCTTTCAAGTATAGCTACCCACCCCTGGTTGATGATGACTTCCAGACGCCACTGTGTGAAAACGGGCCTGTTGCCAGTGAGGATGAGACATCGAGTAGAGAAGACATAGAAAGTGATGGTAAAGAAACCTTAGAGACAGTATCTAATGAGGAGCAAACAGTTCTTCCAAAAAAGGTGATTTTATGAATTAATTTAAATCAAAAGCTGTGGTCTAGCCTCTGTTCTAACACTAGCTATGTATTTTTGTGTAATTCACTAATACTATCCTTATATCTTTGTAAAATGAAAGAAGGATGAAATGACTTGATTAGTAGTACCACTTTGAGTGTATAAAATGCTGAACCCATGCTTTCTATAAAATTGGTACAATGTCCAAGGAAAGAAGGAATTGTTTTACACTTTTGTTGAGATAAAAAATAAACTGATTAATTTAAAACCATACCTTTTTCTTTTTCCATAGGACTAAAGATTGCATCTGGGGCCTCACATATGCTAGACATGCACTTTACTACTGAGTTACGTCCCCAACCCTTTTTTTTCTTTCTTTTCTCTTTAATTTGAGACAGGACTCTAAGCTACCCAGACTGGCCTAAAAGTTGTGATTCCCCTGCCTTGTTCTCCCATGTAGCTGGGATTAGAGCGAGTACCACTGTGCCCAACCTCTGTCTGACTTTCAAAATTTTCGTGGTAAATTTTAAATATAAATAATGACAACATTCATCATAAGGAATTTATACTGTATATATCTTAATTTCTCTTTTTTTCCCATTCCCCTCCCTTCTCTTCAACCCCTGTTCCCCTCCTTATTTACAAAAGCTTTGTTTCCATTTTTTCCTTAACTTTTTTATCTTCTCTCTCCTTTCTCTTCTCCCTTCCCTTTTTCCCCTTTTCATTTCATCCATTTCCCAGTATCTATTATACATTGTCATTCTTATTAATACATTTGATTTCTCATACCAGAGAAGCAATGTGTTATTTAAACTTGTGTCTCTGATTTATTACACTTAATAGTATACTTTCATGGTGCATCCATTTACACAGAATAGTACTGCATTGTATTAAAAAAATGTTTATCCATTCCTCCGTTTGTGGACATTTGTGTTGTTTCCACGATTTAGCTATTACAAACTGTGCTGCTATTTACATGGGTGAACATCATCACTGTGATATGATGTTTTCAATTCTTGGAAAATATGTATTAGGGGAGTAGCTGGGTTCAATAGGATCTCTCATCCTAGCTTTTAGAGGAATTCCCACATGTTTTCCACAGTGGTTACACCAGCCTACACTCCCAGCAGCAGTGAAGGGTTGCTTTTTCCCCACAGCACCACCAGCATTTGTTATTTGTTGATTTTTTTGGTGATAGCCAAGCTTTCTAGAGTGAAATGGAGTCTCAGCATTGTTTGAATTTCCATCCTATCAACAAATGATGTTGAACAGTTTTTCATGCATTTATTTGCCATTTCTACTTCTTCATCTGAGAAGTATCTACTCATTTCAGATGTCCATTTTTGGAAATTTTTTGTATTGAGTCTTTAAATTGGGTGGGGTTCTTTATATACTCTAGATATTAGACCTTTGAGAAGCAGCTGGCTAAAATATTGTCTCTTTACTCTGTTGGTACTTTCTGTTGCTGTGTAAAAGGTTTTTGGTAAGATGAAATCGCAGTTGCTAGTTGTGATATTTCCTGTGCAGCCAGGGTTTGGTTCATAAAGCCTTTGCCAACATCAGTGTCTTTTAGAGTTCTTATTCTTCCTTCCAACAGATTTAGTGTTTCAGTTTTAATGCTTAGTTCTTTGATCCATTTTGATTTGTGCTTAGTGCATGGTGAGTGACATAGGGTTTTCGAGGACCATTTCTTAAAGAGGCATTCTTCCCTTCCAATAAACATGTTTGGCCCTTTTGTCAGAGGTAAGGTAGCTGAGTGTGCTTGGTGTTGTTCCTGCATCTTCTAATCTGTTCTACTGATCTGGAAGTCTGTTTTTTGCCAGTACTACTGGGGACCCCTGCCTTGAGCCTTCTGTCTTCTGTGAAGTTTTCACAGTGACAGAAAAAAAGCAAGACAAATAGCAAGGTGCAAGGATCTGGGATGGCCATTTGTACAGGGAGGAAAAGGCCATGAGGCAAGCAGAACCTCTGCATTTTTTGTTTGAAGAGGGGATTATCAGATACCTCAGAGGGCAGTGGTACTCTTAAACTATTGAGGATATTGTCCTGGAACATTCTTAGTCTTAATCTTAGTCTTAGTCTCAAAAGCTGGGAGAGGATGGCCCACACCTAATGAGGTAAGGGAAATCTCAATAGGGTGATATCAAAAATTCCACACCTCCATTAATCCCATAGGGAAATATAGAAAACTGGCCATTGTGACTTTGTGGTCCCCAACACCGTACCATGGTGTTTTTATCACAGTAGCTTTGCACTATACTTTAAGTTAGGGATTATGATGCCCTTGACTCTTGATTTTGTTGCCCAGAATTACTTTTCCTATTTTAGGACTCTTCTGGTTCCAGAGAAATTTTAGGATTTTTCTATTTCTGTGAGATATGCTGTTGATATTTTGATTGGCCTACCATTAAATCTCTATAAATTTTAGAAATATGGCCATTTTCATTATACTGTTTTTTTTTCTACCCAAGAACCAAACATATCTTTTCATTTTCTGTTATCCTCTTTTTTTTTTTTTCCCGGAACCAGGGATTGAACTCAGGTCCTTACACTTGCCAGGGAAGAGCTTATTCTACTGAGTCATCTCCCCAGCCCCTGTTATCCTCTTTGATCTCTTTTTTTCTTTTTAACCTATTCTGTTTTCTCTTTTCATAGTATTTTTCAATGTAAAGGTCTTTTACTTCCTTCATTATATTCATTCTTACATATTTCAGGTTTTTGGATATTGTGAAAAGTAATGTTTCCCTAATTTCTCTCTCAATGAGTAATTTGTTTACAGGAAGGTTATTGGTATTTGAATGTTGATTTTGTATCCAGCTGTACTTCTGAATTTGGTTATTAAATATAGAAGTCTTTTGGTGGAGTTTTTCGGGTCTTCTGTATAAAGAGTCATATTATATGCAAATAATGATAATTTAACTTTTTTACTTCCTATTCTTATTCTTTTTTGTTTCTTTCTCTTGTATAGTTGCTCTATTTTTTCCAGAACTGTATTGAATAAGAGTGGTGATAATGGACTTCCTTGTCTTGATCCTGGTTCTAGAGTGAAAGCTTTCAGTTTTTGTTTACTCTGATATGAGCTATTGGTTTGTCATGGATGGCTTTTATCAGATTGGGATTAAAGACTGTCTTTTCCAATTTGCTGAGGGCATTTATCAAAAATGAGTATTGAAAAGCTGTCCAAATAGTTCAGTGGATTAAAGCACCTGCAAGTAGGTGCAGGGGCCAGGGTTCAAATCCCCTGCAGTGCTGGCCCCACCTCCCAGGGCTTGATGAGGCAACAATTGAGACTGGGTGTGGTGGCACATACCTGTAATCCCAGCTCTTCCGAGGCTGTAAACAGGCGGAGTCTGATCACTAGGAGTCTGATCTAATAGTGAGACCCTGAACACCCTGTAGACCCTTCCAAAAAAAAGTGAGTGTTGGACTTTGTCAAATTGTTCTGTGCATCTATTGAGATGATCATATGATTTTCATCCTTAGCTCGGTTACTATGCTGTATTAAATTTATTGATTTGTGTATGTTGAACCAATCCTTCATCCCTAGAATAAGTCCTACTTGATCATTGAGGATATTTATGTCTGTTTTCAATAGGGAGATTGGCCTGTTTTTCTCTTTTTTGGTTGGGTCCTTCTCTGGGTCTTGTGTCAAGGTCATGCTTGCCTCCAGGAATGAATTTGGAAGTATTGCTTCCCTTTTAGTTTCATTAAAGAATCAGAGGAGTAGTGACATATGGTCTCTTGTAGAATTCAACAGTGAGTCTGTGAGAGCCTGGGCTTTTCTTCATTGGTGGACTTTTATATATCTTCAATTTATTGATTGATATTGATTTGTTTAGAATTTCTATATCTTTTTGATTAAGCTTTGGTAATTCATATGTATCTAGGAATCTCTCCATTTCTTCCATGTTTTCCATCTTACTGGAATACAGCTTCTTAATGTATGTATTGGTTTGTTTGTTTGTTTGTTTCTGTATTTTATGGAACTGTCTACAGGGTGATAAGACGTTTATGATTGTTATCTTTTCTTCTTGGATTGTTCCCTTTACAAAAATGTAATGATCCTTGTTTTCTTAATTATTCTTGGCTTGAAATCAACTTTGTCTGCAAACAGAATAGTTATTCCCACTTTTTTTTGTGTTCTTGTTACAGGGAGTATTGTTTTCTTTCCTTTGACTTACACACTATGAATTTGTTTATTGTATGAAGCATATGGCGTGATCTTGCTTCTTGATCCATTCTCTAAGTTTGTTTCTTTTGTTGGTGAATTGAGACAATTAACATTGTTGATTATAACTGATACATATTGACTACTCCTTGTCATATTGTTTTCCTGTTGTTTGTTCACTTCCTTTCCCTTCTGTTTAATTGTTTTCTTTTCCTGGTAGACAGACTCATTCTGTTGGGGTTCATGGAGTTGTAGTAATTGTTATCTCTTTCTAGAATGTCCTTCTAAACATTTTGGAGTGATGGATTTGTGGTCATGAATTTCTTCAGTTGTTGTTTGTTGTGGAAGTAACTTATTTCTCTCTCAGTTTTGAAACAAAGCTTGTGGGGAACAAAATCTGGGTTGGAGGTTGTTTTCTTTTAACACTTGAAATAATTCACTTGATGCTGTCCTTAAGAGTTTGTGTTGAAATGTCTGCTGTGATTCTGATGGGCTTCCTTGGTACTGATTTCTTTCTTTTCCCTAACAGCTTATAATATTTTGTTCTTGTGTTGAATTTGTGGAATCTTGAATATTAAATACCTTGGTTTCATTTTTTATAATGGCTAATTGAAATTCTATATGCCTCAGTTAACTGTATGTCAAATTATTTTGCCATTCCTTCTGTTAACAGGATTTTTATGTTGTTTGTACTACCTCCTACCTTTTTTCATTGACTCCAGTTGATCTCATGTTATTCTTTGCATCATCTAGCAGCTATTGGATTGATTATTCATGATCCCTTGTAATTTTTAATAAGCCTTTATTTTCATGATTGCTAACTGCAATCTTGTCTTTAAATCTGATATTCTGGGCTCACAGTGGTTGATTCTGCTGTGTGTACTTTCAGTGGAATATTTTTAATCCCCTTGTTATCTGTTTGAATCTGTTTTGTGGATTCTGTTTCTTCTGTTGGATGTTCATGATTTCCATCATTTTCCCAAGCTCCTGTATTTTTTTTTATCTGTATCTGCTCTAGAATCACTAACAAGTCTTTCATTTCATTATGGTCACTATCTGTTATGGTTTGTGTCTATTTCTTCCCCCAAAGCCTCATGCAGTCACTGGGGACTACTTCTAGAGTTTATGAATAATTCATGATCCAGTGCTGGGATTATAGTGTGAGTGTTACTGGGATTATGGGTGTGAGTGCTACACCTGCCTGGGACGGATAGCCTAATGCAACATAGGGGAGACAGACTTGCTCTCTGTGCCATTGTTGCCACTACTCTTCCCTTTGCTCTTGCTGTTGTGCTCTTTTCTGCCACCATGAATGGTTGCCTTCTACCATGCACCATCTGCCTTGGAGCCAGTTGAGTATGGACTGAAGCTTCTACCAACTGTGAGCTAAATAAACCTTTCCTTCCTTAATTTTGGGCATCAGATATTTTGTGCAGCAATGAGAGAAGAGTAACCAAGTCACCATCTCTGTAGTTGTCTGAGAAATTATCTCTGGTCTGATATTTTTTCTAGACCCTCATTCATCTACTTTGTTACTTATACTGTTACCAGCTGGGTGGCTTTCATATTGCTCCACCTTGTTCATTGGTGAAATGCAAGTCTTAGGCTGCATGTTACTAAAATATTTTCTGATTTTTTATCTTATTTTTTAAGTTTAATTCCTGCATTTATGTTTGTAAGTTGCTTATGGCAAGTGTCTTTATTGCTGTTATTTAGAACCTTTAGGAAATGACTGCTAATCAGAGATGTCTTCCAGGTATAACTGGCCTTTGGGTTTTGAGTCTATTGCAAGATCCTAACCCTTGAATTTATTGTGGATGAGAAGTTGCTGCCTACTTAGCCTAGTCCATGGTTCTTTGATATTGGCCTACAGTATTATTTATGATACTTAGGAAATCTCAGTCTTGACATACCAAGAACACACTTTGTAAGAGTCAAGTCAGTGATGTCACCTTGGCTAAGTAGTATAATCAGAAATAAGAGCATCAAACAGCCTAGAAAATGACAAACTGTATTAACTATTCATTTACTACCTTTAACCATATCAACTCCTTGTGGTTATATAACAAAATATGAAGCAAACCAGAAAATTATATATAGTAAATATGCCCTCTATATGCCTATTTTAACCTCAGATGAGAAAACATGAAAGGGGTTGGGGGGGAAATAGAAGAACAGGAAGAGATTATAAGCAAGGTTGTGAGAGGAAGATTGTGTGAACTTTGGGAAACTGGTAAATAATATAGGAAGAAAGAATACAAAAGCAGAACAACAAAAAACCTAGAAACAATTTGCACATTCATATGAAAACAAGAACAGACAACTAAGAAAAATGAAACAAAATCAAGAAAAGAAAAAAGTAAGAAAATATGAAAAATAAATATCCACTTCAGGGTGTGTCTCTACTGTCACTCGTAGACAAATTGAGCAGGTAGAGCCCAGATTGAAGTTGATTAATCCCAAAAAGCCCGAAGTAGATTTACAGTGGGGTAGTGAACAGTACCAGCAAGCACCTTAGTTCCACTGAAGTTCTGGCAGTGACACTGATCCCAGAACTGTTTAGCCTACAACATTCTGTGTTTATCCTGCTGGCTTGAGCTAGGCCCTCTGTCAAGTTGAACTGAGTACTTTGACCACCTACTGAGCTGAGCTCAGTCTTGCTTAGCTCTGACAATGTCTGCCGCTACATGGAGCCAGCAGCTGCTCTGAATTAGGAGCTCAATTTGCCGTTATCGAAGATGGCTACTGGCCAAACACCCTTTCTTGGGGGATATCTGAATCTGAAAATCTCACCATCCACTGCTGTCTGCTGCATTCACTGTTCCATTCGACCAGTACATTTCACCCTGGAGGCCTCTGGAGTCACCAGTGCATCTGCTGATTTGGGCCCGGCTTTCTACACAGTGAGTTACAGCTCAGAGGAAGCACCACTTGATACCTACTTCTTTCTTCATTGAACTTTCTTCATGGACTTTAATTTTCACTTCAGATCCTTTCTGGGTCCCAGGGACCCACTTCTCTCCTTTTCCTCATGTTGCTGTATCCCAGCATCTGAACACCCAATCTCAGGCTGTTTTTCTGTGGCTTACTACACTGCCATCTTCCTGGAAGTCTTCTCTCATTTTTAAAAAAAGACTTACTTCTTACTCTTTTTAAAAATTTTCAAGGACTTGATGGAACAGCATGTTTTAATTTTGTACAAATGTAAAGACTTTTAAGGAAAGGACCATATTACAGTATTACTAGTGCACTGTTTATAGTCACCTGTCAAGTAAGTGTTCTGGACTGTGTTAATATATAGTAAATATATCATTTAGATACATAAACTTATTAAAATTATAATTTGTAGGGCAAGTAATGTTCACTTTTTGGCCTAATGCCTTGTCCAACTAGCAGTATAAAGCTAAAATGACATTATCTTTTTTCTGTTGTGTTTTCTTCGTTTCCTTTTTGTCTTTAGGTTAATGCAACTGAAATGACTTTGAAAGCAGAAGAAAATGAGAAAGTTGATTCAAAAATGAAAGCTTTCAAGAAACCATTGAGTGTATTTAAAGGGCCCTTATTACATATCAGGTAATGCCATTTTATTAGCTATGCTTTTATATCATATTCACCTTGAAGGTTCTGCAAAATGAAAAGTTCTGTGCTGTTTCTAAAACCAGAAATATAAAATAAACAGTTATGTGAAGAATCACCTTCTTTTCCAAATATACTGGGCATTTTTAACTACCTTTTTTTAAAATCATGCATAACATTTAGTGTATAAAGAGCTCTCATCACCCATCAGATAATAAAAGTGAATATTCCTATATTAATATATCTAAGTGATGTATTTTTCTCATATTTACACAAGTAGGGGTGCCTGAGGTGACACTACAAGAAGCCAAAAGTGAGCTAGAAAACTACATGCATCTTCATTTGTGTTGCTAGGATATTTGGTCTGAAAGATGATTTAAGGTTGGAGACCTGGGATGTAGCTGAGTGGTAGAACACTTGTCCAGTTTTCCTGAAGTCCTGGGTTTGATCTCCAGCACTGGAAAAACAAATTTAGAAGTACTTCTTGTATCACAATGTAATGTAAAATTGCTTTCCAGTGATGCTTTCTTTCTGTTGATAAATCTATTCAGCCTTATGTGACTGTTGCTCTACGAAGCCTCATTAGTGACAATCTCATACAGCATTTTCTTTCCCTTTGCTTGAAACCTCCCTAGGTAACTATTGCTTACATTACCAATAGTACACCCAGGTTTTTTTTTAAAGTTTAAGAGTTTATGTCTGATTGACAAATTATTTTTTTTCATACATTTTGGTTACTTTCACTTGTGTGTGTAAGAGAGACACACATTTTGTTTCTAATCTTTTTATTTGTCCTTTCCCCCCTTTGGAGTTTGTTTGTTTGTTTGTTTGTTTGTTTGTTTGTTCCATTTTTTCTTCTAGTTTGGAAGTTACCCATCTCATGTTTTTATGGGAACTCTGTCACACAGAGCCTAGCATACAAGTGTCAAGGTTTGTTCAGAGTACCAGTGAGGAAAAAAGCTAGCCTCCAGCAGTATAGCTTCTGGGGCAGCCATTTCAACCTGTACCTCTCTGGCAGATTCACAGAACTGCTCCTTCACATATACTACATAGTGAGACCTTGTCTCAAAAAAAAACCCATTACTTAGTTAAAACTAAAACAGCATCCAAAATGTGCTTCCCTTTGTGTTGAGACACCTGATATGCATGTGATTAATGTGATGAAAGTACACAAATTTTGCTTGAGTCATTTAATTTTTATTTTGGGTCATGGGCATTACAGTGGCCAGGGATTGTAAAATTTGAATTTTGAGAGGCCCACTGCTTTATTGTTTGGTAAGTTCTTCCTTTATTAATTCTGCATTTCTTTTTTCTCTCTATGGCTTAGAAAAGCCATTATATAGTAAGAAATCATTCTATAACTTAAGTACATTCTTAATGATCTTTCTTTTTAAGTTATATTCTTTCTTGGTGTATGGAAATATGTGATGCTGATCTCTTTATATTTAGAGCAAGTTGAAGTAATGGTACCTTTCTTGCTTTGATTATAATCCATAAACTTCGAAAAGGTTTAAATAAATGCAGTTTAAGATTGTGTTGATTGTAGGATTAATAGAGGATTTTCCTAATTCTCTCTTGTGTTCTTTCCTGTTTTGCATTTGACCTTAGGGGAAACCATTGGGCTTCTTAAATAGCACTAAATCATTAAGATTAAAATACAAAATTGTATTAGGTAATTATTTGTAGTATTCTTTTTTAGTGACATTTCTTTATGCAAATGAGCATAAAACATTAACCAAATAACCTTTTTCAAGTTAGTGATTACATTGTCATATATTTTGAGTAATACAAATACCTTATGTTTTTGTTACCTTCTAGCCCAGCGGAAGAATTATATTTTGGAAGTACTGAATCTGGGGAGAAGAAAACACTAATAGTGTTAACAAATGTAACTAAAAATGTAGTAGCATTTAAGGTATGTATCTTAAAGATATGATAAATCGTATGTGAAACTGTGACATGGGAAATGATTTGGCACATGTATTTTTGGGTTTTTTTGTTTTGTTTTTGACGGAACTGGGGATTGAACTCAGGCCCTTGCGCATGCCAGGGAAACACTTCTTCCACTGAGCCTTCTCCCCAGCCCCTTGGCACATGTTCTAATTGAAGGATTGGTAACTAGATAATAAACAGTCCTGTGCAAAACCTGAACTTTCACAGTATTTCTATTTATATTTTAGGCATGTTGTACTGCATTCTACTTCAATCCAAGACCTATAGCTTTTCTAAAATTTCCCCTAGGATCTGTGTCTTAGGCTGTAATAAGCACTAATACACTAACATCCATATTCCTGAGATTTAATGTTTGTCATAAATAAAAGCCCAAGAAAAATCATTCTTCATTACTGTCTATAAATAATTTAATTCATAGCAGCAGTGAGAGATAAAATTACAAAATCAAAAGTATATTTTCTAAACTATAGTTTATATTGGCTACTAAGCTTTTACTGAATATTAAGGTTACATTACTGAGTCTGTCCCCTATATTGTAGGCATTTCTTTCTTAAATCTTCTATAGAAGTTAGGATGTGGGTAGGCTTTGGTCATATGATTGAATTTCTGTTCTCTGTTGTAACACATGATACAGTGTACATTGTTTTATTTTTTTATTTTATTGAGAAACAAATAGTAATGAGACAGTTTCAAAACAGGATAGTAGGACAGTTATAATAATTAATACATTGCATATTGTTGTCTTCGTAGTTGTTATTCATAGTACAAGTTGCAGACATGATATCCTGTCCAAACACTACTAGTACAAATCTTACTTCTCATTGAATTAAAAGAAAGTAGCTGTATATCTATCTTGTTTTGTATATACAGATACAAAATGGTCCTTCATTTATATCCCGCTTTTTCATTTAGTTTTGTCAGAGATGGGTATTCCATTGCCATGTAAATATTATAAGTGCATGAATTCGCAAAATAATCCAATATAGTCCAGTAGTCATACTGGGTTGTCCGTAGGACTGTGCAGACCTCAAAAGTCATCTCTGAAATTGCTGGGCTCCAGACCTTATTCCCTGTTCTAGCTGTGCTTTCTACTTCCCTCTTTGTTTTTGCGTTTTGATTTTTTTTATCATTACATTCAGTTTACTGAATTTCAGGCAGAATACAAGTATTTAATAGATGGTTTTTTCTCTCTCAAGAGGAAGTCTAAGTGAACTTAATAAAAAGAAGTATCTTGGTGAGCCAGGCGTGGTGCACATCTGTATATCCCACACTGTAGGATCCTGAAGCCAGAGGCAAGCCAGCAACTTAGTGTGACTGGCTTAAAATTTCAATCACCTAGTATCACAAAACAGAAAAAGTACTTTCTTAGGTAGATTTATAAGTTTTTTGTGAAAAACACATGTTCTATCCATATTCAATATCATAGTTTCTATCTTATCACTGAGACACAATACCCAACATTCACAACTCTTAAGGTAGCTTACAATTTGTAGAAGTTTCAGTCTATAACTGGCTGGATTCAAGGGAGGATGGCATGGCAGAAAAGGACCTCAAGGCATGGCAGGTAGAAAGCAGCAAGGGAGAAGGAGAGATGCTATATATGTGCCACACCCACAGTAACCCACCTCCTCCCATCATACTTCACCTTCCAACATCATACCCAGCTATAAACTCATTATTGGACTAACCTGGTATCATACACCCATGATCGAGACATTGCCAAGAGTTCCACTTATGAGCTCAAGAGGTTTTGCGGGAACTTGTGAATATAAATCAGAGCAGCCACCAAGGTGGTTTTGTAGACCCTTTGTTATTAAGTGCTGATTTTTTAGAAGATCATTTTTTTTAATTACCTAAAAGAGAAGTCAGGTTGTTATATCACAAATTATATGAGTACTGTGTTTCTAAACAGGTGAGAACAACTGCTCCGGAAAAATACAGAGTTAAGCCAAGCAACAGCAGCTGTGACCCGGGCGCATCAGTTGATATTGTTGTATCTCCCCATGGAGGTGAGTTATCACTCATGGCCTAACCTAGTGTGATGGGGAGTGGGAACCTGGGCCCCCACTGAATGCAGAGGTGAATCCTGAAATTAGAGTATCAGCAAATCACTTTTACAGATTCTGGGCATCTGTTTTATCACATGTGAAATGAGATTGTCAGCTAGGTCTCGAGTGTCCTTTTTGTCATTAAAATGTAATTGTTTTTATTTTTTTATTTATTTATTTATTTTTGGTGGAACCGGGGATTGAACTCAGACCTTTGCGCTTGCCAGGGAAGCACTTATTCTACTGAGCCATCTCCACGGCCCATGTAATTGTTTTTAAATGAGTAAAATTTTTTAAACTGACACCAATTGCGGTTGAATTTCAAAAAAACCAAAGTTCTTCAATTATAAGGGTTTTTTTCTGCATTTAAGGCATCTTGTGTTTCTTGTTTTTCCTTTATACTTTATTTTAAAGTAATGCTGTAATCCACAAACCCAGCCCCATGTGAAGGTTTTTGTTTATAATTACCCTTAACCCTGTGTTATTGTTGTTTATAATTATTGTTTATAATTACCCTTACTACAGGCTTAACAGTCTCTGCCCAAGACCGCTTTCTGATCATGGCTGCAGAAATGGAGCTTTCATCTGGCACTGGGCAAGCAGAATTGACTCAGTTTTGGAAGGAAGTTCCCAGAAGCAAAGTGATGGAACATAGGTAAGCTGTAAGCTTTTTGTTCACAGGCTCTTGAATGTGGCTAAAGAAGCAGAAAGAGAAATGTGCCTCCCTGAGTGAGGCACCATCCCTCACTTCTCACATCTGGCAGACTTGGCATGTTCAGATGAATGAGCTGGAGCTGCTCAGGGAGTTACTAATAACGGAAATCTGCTGGCAGACCAAGGCAAGAATCTGAATCTGTCAAGATGACATATGTACATCTCTGTCCCAGCAATTCCCCCGTAGTACTCCATGCACTACAGTGTTGGATGTAGCACTGTTTGTCATAGTAAAAAATTAGAACTTAAATGCACATCAGTAAGTAGTAATGAAAGACATTTGTGTGTATCTGTGCTAAAAAGTACTTCACAGCCATTCAAAAAAGTAAAGTTATTCTGACATAGAAAGACATCTGTTACATATTAATATAAAACACACTACTCTCTGGAAAATATATATGACATGCTATTTAAAAGGTGAAAATCCTTCAAAGGTGTGTGTGTATGTGTGTGTTTGTGAGAGATAAATGTCTGAAAAGATGTAGAGAAATGGAAAATAGAGAATACTCTGTTGTGATTTTGTTTTGCTTTGGTTCCCTTTTATCAGAATTAAGATTTATTGGAGTATTCTAGTTTTGCTACCAGGTAACAATTGTCTAAGGACATTTTTTGTGGAATTGATGGTCAAAGGCATGGCAATGGAAAATTTTTGAAAAGTTAAGAAGTGCTGGCATAAGAGGTATACTAGATTAAGCTGAAGTACATTTATCTTCAATATGAGGGCATTATGGTCTATTATGCATGTTTTATGCTTCTTATGTATGAGGTACTTTATTTTCTTAGTCTTGGATTTCCCTTTTCCTAATGGCATGATTTCTCTGGAATTGTCAACAGGAAATCACTATTTTCTCCTAAAAAGTGGGAGGGAAGCCTGGTAGTTTGGTCTGGAAGGACTAAGAAAAGTATTATCTACTGTATAGAAAGTTTGGCTGCCTTCAAATAAATAGTAGAGGTATTCAGATTAACTCTACTGAATACTTTATGAAAATCTTGCCACTGAGCCAGGTATGATGGCCCATATCTGTAATACCAGTACTCTGAGAGGCTGAGGCAGGTGAATATTAAGTTGGAACCCACCCTGAGCAACTTAGCAGTTTGCTGAGATACAAACTCAAAGTTTAAAAGAAAGCAAAAAGAAGAAGGTATAGCTCAGTGTCAGTGTGAGGATCCTGGGTTCAACTCCTGGTATGGAGAACAGAATTCACAATCTGTATTGCGTGTATAACAAGAAGCTAGAAATTGGCTGAGGATGTACCTCAGTGGTAGAGTCTTTCCTATCATGTACAAAACCCAGTTGCCTGTCATGTGCAAAATCCAGTGTGGGGGGGGCAGCTAGAAGATAGATAAATATAAATTGTGTCACTACTTTAGGTAAACTTGGGAAGAAGAATGAGCCCTTTTACTTCTTTACATAGATTCCTGTTTTTAACTCTTTTCATTTTGTATTTTACTTATATAAGAAAATTCACTAATGCTCTTAAGTTATGTTTCTTTTGGATTTTCATAGGTTAAGATGCCATACTGTTGAAAGCAGTAAACCAAATACTCTTACATTGAAAGACAATGCTCTTAACATGTCAGATAAAACCAGTGAGGATATATACTTACAAGTAAGTATACTTTCTTCCTAGCCAAAACAAGTTGTTCATGCTAGCTGACATAAAGCCAAGCTTTCTCTTTGTGAAGAGAAACCAAATTAGAAATGGTAAATGGTGAGTTACTTTTGGAAATCAACAAAAGCTCTGGCCAGTTTAACAAAGAATAGAGATCAAGTATCAAAGTATTCCATCTTGCAGAGAAGGGTGCTAAGTGGTGTATTTAAATTGGAAAGAGACAAAAAGTAACTGGAGGTGTAGCTAAGCCCATAACTAACATGCACAAAGCCCTTGGTTCCGTTGGCCTGCATTATAAAGGACAGAAGGGCTCTCTCCTGCTGAGTTGTTCAAGGGTTTATATATCTCCACAAAGTGTTTGGTCTTCTCCCATCTAATTAGAAAACAAGACCTTTTAAGATATGAGCAAGCAGAGACATATCTGCCCACCAAATAAATTGAATGCCTCCTTACATTTCTGCCTACCTGCCTTTCAGAATAGATGGGCTATATGCCTTCAGCGTTTGGATTTCTAATATTCCTGTTTGTCATTGCCATGATTAGTAATTGTTTTATTGATACAAATCTTTCATCCCTTTTTCCTCTTCAGCTCAATCGTTTACTAGAAAGCAATAGGAAGCTTGAAGACCAGTTTCAGCGTTGTATCTGGTTCCAACAGCTGCTACTTGCCTTAACAATGCTCTTGATTGCTTTAGTTGTGACCTTCTTTTATTCATTATACAAATAAAGAAGTGGTGCCTGGACACAAACATAACTCCTTCCTCACTTGTTAGGAAAGTGTAACAAACCCAAAACATCTCCACCAAACTACTAAACACTTTGCACATCTGTGCTTCCTAGAAGGAAATATATAGCACATGAGGGGTGCAACATATGCCTGTCTTAAAAACTAAACTATTTAGGGGCCAGGGATATAGCTCAGTGACACAGTGCCTGCCTGGCAAGCTTAAGGTCCTGAGTTTAATTCCTGGTCCCACTCCAAAAAACAAAAAATAACATAAATTAAACTGTTTAAAGAAACCGCTGGAGAAATTTATTAGTAGATATTATAGCTAGTTAGGAAAGTAAGTAAAGGCATATGCATTGTATAAATTAATAGCTTAAACATAATTTATTTTTCCCTTTGATTTAAATACTTTGAAAACTTAAGTTTTGAACTGAGGATGTGGCTCAGTGGTAGAGCACTTTCCTAGTGTGCACAAGACCTAGCATCTGGTCCCCAAAACCACCCAAAGAAAGCTTAAGTTTTATTATATAAATATATTAGCTGAATTGAAAAGTAAGTAACATGCTTTGGTGCAACCAAAAAATGTAATCTGCTTTTTTATGACAGAATTATTATAGCTGAGCCAACTTACTAACCTTTCTATATTATGTAAATAAAAGAACATGTATATTGAAAAAAAACATACTTACACAGAGTAATTTATGTAATCTTGACTTTGTAATTTTGAAACTTAATTCCAGATGATAGTCAATATTCTTTTGGAATGTAAATCTCAATGCCAAACCACCTTAGTCTTTGTTTCCCACAGCTCCTTAGGAGCCTGCCTTTTCTTAATCCTGGGATTTTCTATGAATACTCATTTTGGTAGAATTTGGAAAACTAAGTGTGGTTAGATTTTCTTTGAGTTCTGTTGAGTCTCTTCAACCAGTCCCCCTTTCCAGTCGTCTCTATGCACCTTCACATTATGCACTATGGCTGGACACTGGACCTTTTATTTAATCGGTTACAAATATGTTGTCTAATTCTTCATTCCTTCCAGATCACAGGCATCTCTGTGCACTACAAATCACACCATCTTCACCCTCATTTCTAAATGAAAAGTGTTAGTTAACACTTTTCTTTAAAGAGCTAGTTGTCTGAGATTCTAAGCAATATTATTTATGATTCAAAATGTTCCTTGTTAAAATCAGCCTGGATTATCTCATAATGCTAAAGAGGAAAATAAAAGCATAGAAGCTCAAGTATCAGGTCTTCGGTTAGAGAATGAAAAATATTACTCATAATGGGCTGTAAAACCTTCATCCCAGGGCTAACTGACTAACTTGATATTCTTATCTTTGCTGCAATAATACCCACCCGGTATGGTTTCTATATTCCTGAAAAGAAAGACTTAGCAGAAGCAGAGGCTAATGAAATTGTAGTTTGTTTTCTTATTCATATGGCCAGTTTCTATCCTTTTGGTAAACTTGTGTCTCAACTTTATATGCAAGAAAAAATAGTCTTCCTGTAAAATAAATTTTGAGTTTCAACTGAGCCATGTTTGGAGATTTATTATTATTATGAAGTGTAGTTTTAATCCATTTCGTCTTGAAGAAGTTGGTTCCCCAAACTGAGTTATGAAGAATGATGTAACAGTTCCTTCAAAATTGGCCTAGGAAATAAAACCTTAAAAGGACACTGGTGTGATCCTTTGTCTTGATTTGGGCTTTTCTGTTTCAGTTTACCACCTCCAGATGTGAAATGGACTGCAGTCCACCCTAAGTACTGTGCACAGTATCTCCGTGTGTGTGTGTGTGTGTGTGTGTGTGTGTGTGTGCACAATGGCTTCCCTTATGTGGTAGACTTTTGGCCTTAATCTAATCCCAAAGTATTTGTGTATGATTTTTGTTCCTCAGCAAATAAATGAGGAAGTATTTAGCCATGATTGGAACTGTTTTGTCCTAACGGTGTCCCTTTAATGTTTCATGTGAAAACTGTATTGACTTACTAAAATATCCATGTCTGATCAACTGAATTTAGTAACCTATCTTGTTAATATTTGTGTGTGTGTTAAATGTGACTAAAAATTACCAAAAATTAACTATAAAATCAAAAACACCTAAACTTTTGTACTTGTCTTGATTAATCATATATATTTGCATTTGATTTTATACGTCATCATTTGCTTCTAATAACATTTGCATGATTATTATTTTTGGTATTCTGTTTTTGGTAATTTTCTTTCTTTCTCATACCATTACGTGTTCATGACCAAATTACCAAGGACTTGCATTTAGATTTTGATTTTAACTTTCACATGGGAATGAAAATTAATAGATTTTTTTTCATAAGAACATTAACAAAATATCATTAGCTTGATCTGCAGGTAGCTTAAAATTGCAATTGCTGTTAAACCTAGCCTCAAATTTCATAATACCATAATTGTTTTTATATCTTGCCACTAATTTTGACTGGATTTAATAGCACTTTATTGTACAATTACAAAAAATATATTCCTAGAGTTGTTGCCAGTGTAATTTCTCTATAATGTTCAGGTGCTTTTCATATATTTTCAGTATTTTTATTACTATATTGGTATTTTCTTTGTATAAATTGATCAAAAAACATGTTTTCTATTTTACTATGTTTTAGAAAAGTAATTACATTTATGAAATAAATATCATCAGGAAAAAATCCTCTGGTCTCTAATTGATAAAACATTTTAAAGACAATCAATGTTCAGACTTACTCTAACCTTTTAAAGATCAAAGTGCTTCCTTGTGGATCTGCTTTGCATTTTTATAAGGACAGCACTTCAGGCTTCCAAAGATGCAGTCTGTGCCAGGTGGGTCTGTCCTTTAGTGTGTCCTGTTTCCCCTCACCCCTGTGTACTATAGAAATGCTCTTGAGTACAGTTCTTGGCATTGGACCCACTGTTGTGACTTCGAGCTCATTAGTGAACCCATTACTAGAGCTGCATTGAGTGAATTGCCCCATGGTCTATCCTCCTGCCTGATTGCGTGAACTGGAAGCAAGCTAGGGAGATGTCTCACTGGCTGCCAGGCATGTAGAGAAGACAGTGTAGCACTGACTGTTCCCAAAATCAAGGCTGTGGCTCTAGCCTGTGGCAGGAGGGATGCTGAGAAGGGGCACAGGGTAGCTCAAGCTATTGACAGAGGAAGCCCTCTGGGTTGTTTGTGTCAGTCCCTTTGCCACCAGAAGACACAACCTTCAAAACAGCAGCTCCCTCTCCATACAAATCAAATAAGTAGGACAGATCCCTCTGGTGCATGTGCCAGGGAGATGGCTCAGTGGAGTAAGTGCTTCCCTGGCAAGCGCAAGGGCCTGAGTTCAATCCCCGGTTCTGCCAAAAAGAAAAACAAAATCCGGTGCATGGAAATCGCAGTCCATTGAGGAAAATCAAAATAAAAGTAGAGCTAAAAAGACAGAACATTAACCTACCAAGAAATAATACTGACTGGTGAATGAGAGAACAGTCCTGCTTAAAAGACAATTTTCTAAGAAATAACTCGGGAAATCTCCAGCTAGGAAAGGATTGATTACAGGAATCTATGACTTTCTCCTGGAAATATTGAGTTTTATGACATCAGAACAACATGGGTCTCTAGAAACATAGGGCTCACCCTCTCTCAGGTCAAAAGGGACAGACTAGGTTCATTGCAGGTGACCTTGTTAGGCTGATATGTTGCCTCCAGTTGCCTTCCATCCTGGCATCTTAGATTTTTCACACTTGATCTTCAATATCGCACCTCATTTAGACCCATGTATCAGTTTTCCAGATTTTCCTCATACTCCCCTTGCCTTCTTTTCAACTCAGTAAAATCACATCAGACCTTTCACATCTGCATCTTAATTTTGTCTTAATGCTGAATAAATTTACTTCCCTGTAATGTCCAAAGAGTCTCATTGCTTCCCTGCCCTACTTACATACCAGTTCCTGAAGAGTAAAATAATGTGCACATGTCAATATCATTGGTTTAACTGGCAAGAATATAGAAATATCTCTGAGCCACAAGAACAAAAATCCGAGGGAGAATTTGGCCCTTCAAATGTAATTTTCTCATGTTTTTATGCACTCAGTAGTATGGAAAAACAAAGATCTCTTTTATATACAGAAGTGAGATCAAGGGTCTAAGAATCCTTCGACAAATACGTAGTTGCTTTCAGAACCACGAGTTAGACTAGTTTCCTATGCACAATGCTTGTCTGTTATGACCACCCAGGGCTGCCACTTAGTAATGGGTTAAAACGTTGAGTGGTAAGGTACAGCAGAGATGACCATCTATATTTTGGTGAATCCAAGCAGTAAACAGTATGACATGGAAGGGGAATAAAGATACAATGCTTGAAAAGAAGCAGGTGACAGAATGGTCACTCAGACCTAGAAAAGCAAATTTCTTGGGGCTGTAAGCTACACACAGGCCTTACTGTGAAGAAGGTTTCAACATGTGAGTTGATGGAATATTTACTTTGATGGAGTGCATTCATGTGTTAAGCATCAACCCTCAAAGCAATTATTGTGTCATTCTGTTGAGGGGCATTTAGTAAACTGTGTTGTCATTAATTGTCTCAGAAGCCATGGTCTAGTGTCCTGAACAAGTCATGTGTCTAATAAAATCAACATATATCAGTTTTCTATTGCTTTGCAACAAATATCCACAAATTTTAGTCACATGCCACAACATTAAAAATCTCAGTTTCTGTGGGTTGAGTCTGGGCTGGGTTTTCTGCTCAAGGTCTCACAAATCTGCAATGAAGGTGTCAGCTGAATGCATCTTCCTTGAAGGTCCAAGTGATGAAGATCACGTTTAGGTGCTCCCAAGTTGATAGAATTCATTTCTTGGAAGCTATGGACTACAGTTGTTGATTTTTTTGCTGGCAAGGAGGCCTGCGCTGGGAGTACAGGCACACACCACCACGCCCAGTTTCAGTTGCTGTCTCAGTGCGCCCCAGGGACAGGGCTGGCACAGCACACTGGGTATTAAACCCTGATCCCTGCACCTTCCTAAGCAGGCGCTTTAGTCCACTGAGCTATCTGACCAGCTCCTCAAGTCTCTTTATTAATGATCCACCTGATTAAGTCAGGCTTACCCAGGACAATCTGCTTTGGAATTAACTCAAGGGAAACCATTCCCCAGCAATGGAGATTCATGTCCCATGACATCCACAAGCACTAAACTTCACACTCAAGGAGAAAGATTCCAGACACCTGTACATCCATCCAATTCAGTCCATCAGACTGAAGAGTCAGAACTCATCTTTATCTAGTTGAAGTTCTTAATCCACTGATCCTGCGCAACTGAAAGAAGTAGACTAACATCCATGTTACATGCCCAGCCACCAGTTTGGGGACAATACATCTTTTTCCTTGTTGGCTTTCTCTAGTCGTAGAGATTTTCTTTTTTTTTTCTTTTTCATTATAAAAGCTTTGTTACAGTGGCTATGCTTCCTTAATTTTAAACATTTGAGAATCAAAGTAATGAGCACCTAACTCGTAGCAATGTTCATGTATACAAAATTAAAATCATTAATGGTCTGGGGAGATAGCTCAGTGGAATAAGTGCTTGCCTGGCAAACACAAAGTCCTGAGTTCGATCCCTGATACCACCAAAATAATAATAATTCAATAAAGTAGTATTTCCTGTAGTTCAAGACCAAATCATACCTGGGTTAAATATGTGAATAAGTTTTATTGGCCCAATTTCCAACACTTTATAGGTGTTTTTCTGACAATGTATATTTACTTTGCCAGATCCACAAATAACACACCAGGCAGTATGAAATCAGAAACTAGTACTGGATGTATCATAGAACAGATAGGTATTTTTGTGATACATAAAGTTTCTCTTTTCACCCTTAGTGTATGTTTGTGATAATAAATATTGTGGAGAATTGGTACATACACATTGCATCTTGATTCTTTTTACTTCCTCTCTAGTCTTAGTTTCAAAAATATTCAAGTTTTAAAAAAAATAATGGAAAGTATGTGACCAGCATTTTAAATATTTATTAAATCATTAAGCTGTCAAGTAAGATTCTTATATTCAGTTGATTTGCTAGGACAAAGGGTACTTCTAGTAGTGTGCTTTCATAAATGAAATTAATGAAAACAGTTAACTTTCAACTTTTGCTTTTCCTTCAGAATAATACAATTTCAGTTAAAGTTTATTTTCTTAGATATAAGAATATTCTGTAAAAATAAATGGAATAGTTAAAACTATAAAGGAAGGAAAATATTTCTCTTATACAGATCTGCATCAGATTTCCAACTCTTTGTTTGTTTTGTAGTACTGGAGGTTGAATCCAGGGCCATATGTTTGCCACTAGGCTACATCCCCAACCCTTTTGTATTTATTTTTTTTGAATTTGTAGACACTGTCTCACTAAGTTGCCCAAACTGGCCTAGAACTTGTGATGGTCCTTCCTCAGCCTTCTAGGTAGCCAGGATAACAGACATGTGCTACCACACCTGGGTGATTTTAAACATTCATACTCTCCAGTTTTATTTGGGTCAAATTCTAGTGCCTTAATTT